CATCTCACCGCTGGGGGTGGTTATGGCCGCAGGGGGCCCGCGCCCACGGCTCCTCATCAGGGAGGGTGTCCTTGGGGAGACGGCTGAGGTTCAGGGGCTGAGGCTCAGGGGCTGAGGCGGAGGCCGCCTCCGTCCGGGAGACAACCTTCGTTCCTGGGTCCTGCCTGTGCACTGGCATCCGTGCTCTCCTGGCATCTTTTTCAATGTCCTAAATTAAGAGCATGATGCCTTATAGGTGAGTTGCAATTTAAAAAAAAAAATAAAATAAAAGCGATCCACTCATCCTATAAACAGCAAAACGGCCATTTTCTCTACATAGAACTGGGGAGCATGGCATCGGCCTTAAAGTATCACCTCCCTCGGTTTCCCACCGCCCTCCCCCTGACGCCGCCCTCTCCTTCCCCGCGCTCCACTCCTCAAAGCATGTCCTCGGAGGACTCGGGGGCTCGTGTTAATGCTAAAGGGACTGAAGAAGCCGGCGGGGGAGCCCCCCAAGGCCCCCTGCTGTTCATGGGGCCTCCTGAGCACCACAGGGCGCCTTGGTTTTCTTTCATTCGCACAGAGTGAGAACACCAGATCTACAGATAATGGGATTAAAATAGCAAAATGTGAGCCGTGGGCGACGTCTTAAGCTTCAGGACTTACTAGATTATTCTATTTTTCCGAGCGCAAGACAAGCGAGGTCTCACGGTCCTGCAAAGGGGGACACGTGGCTTTCCCGCCGAGCGAGCTTCAAAGAAGAGGGGCGGGATTTCAGAGAGAGGAAGGGAGAGGGAGAGAGAGGTAGAAACATTGATAAGAGAGAAACATTGATAGGCTGCCTCTTGCACACCCCCTACTGGGGATCCAGCCCCTCAACCCGGCATGTGCCCTGACTGGGAATCGAACTATGACCTCCTGGTTCATAGGTTGATGCTCAACCACTGAGCCACACCAGCCAAGCCATAACCACCCACCTTGTCGAGTCTAATATGCAGTGTTTAGCTGCCTGACTTATGGCAACTGAACAAAATACAGGGTGGGGCCAAAGGAGACTTCCAGTAGTGAGCACCCAAAACCCAGGACTTGTTCTTGTATTACTATTTATTTATTACTGTGTTATTGTCCACAGGAACAACTGTAAACGCACTTTTGCCCCCCCTGGCATACAGGCCAAGTCCGTATGCCTGCTCTGGGCAAGAAACGTAACTGCCCTCCACGGCCGATCCTCTGCTCGCCTAACGACGCCACGTTCGCCCAAGACCCCGGAGCAGACACCGCCTCGCGTCTGCCCCACAGAAGTGAAGGCGCAAGCTCGGCGCTGCCCTAGCACCTCAGCCCCAGCCCAGCCTCCCGCCATCCCCATCCCACCTGCTGCTGCCGGCGCCCTCTGCCACCAGAGACCTCACAAAGGAAGCACACGAGGTCTGGGATTCGGCCTGGGCAGACGACCCCGAGGTCACCACTGGAGCCCCAAACCGAAGGGATCAGCAGTACAGCCACTGAGTGAATGCCCAGAGCTATTACCCTCTTGTGTTTCATTAGTGCAACAAAGGACAGTAAATCGCAAGGACTAGAGGAGTGTCCTGGGGGTGCCCTCTAGAGTTAGAAGTCCCCACGGTAGAGCCCTGGGATCCTAAATACAAAACAACGTTAGTAACAGCGGTAACAGCAGGTCTGCTACTGTGGGGCACCACGCGCCTGTGGGGCTGCCTGGCCAGCCCTCGCCTCACCGGACTCTGAGGTTCAGATCACTCTTGTTCCCATTTTACAGAGGAGGAGACTGAGGCTCTGCGGCGTGAGGTAACTTGGCTGAGACTCTGCAACCAGCTCATGGTGGTGCTTATCGCTGAATCCAGAACAGTCTATAAGCTTTAAAATATTTTCCCTGCACAATCCTATCAGTTGTGTTTTCTCACTGCAGAACTACAATAAGACAATCTAAGCCGACCTCCATTGTATAAAAACAGGGGCATTTCTTAAAACAAAGCAAAGGAAAAGCAGACAGAAAAAGAACCTGATAGAACTTGTCTGCAAACGGTAAGTAATGCTAGAATACCAATGAAGCCGCTGGCGGACGTGTGGGTGGTGTTGTTTCTCTTAGTTCCACCTTCACTAACGGTTTCCATTTCAGGGTGACCTGTGTGCCTCCACAGCCAGGTCATCATCCATAAGCATCAAGACGGAAAGGAGCCCCCCCCCCCCCGCACCCCCGAATGGCATGTTCTTGTGTAATTACATCTCTCCACGCCCTGCCTTTGGGAACAGGTCTGAATTACTCCCACCTCTTTGTTGAGCTGTGACTTTAATCAAAGGAAAGAAGCCTGAAAGAAGCCAAGCTCTGAAAGCCTTCATTCAATCCGCCCAGCAATTTCTCCAGGATTCAAACAGTAAATGAGTTAAAAACAAACAGGTGGGAGGGGAATCAATCTTTCTATTACAGACAAAATACGTGCATGGATGTATATGTGTGTGTGCATGTGTTTGGGGGGAGGGAGTGATTTCTGTTCAATTAAAAAATGCATATGTATTAAAAACATGGTAATAACATTAACAGTTTATCATCAGAATAATTCTTTTCGTGGGTGCTGAAAGCTGAAGAATTAAAATACGCCCAGGAGGAAAATTCAAACCGAAGGCCAGAGCGCCCTCTTTCTTTTTCTTGAAGAAATTCACCCAAACCTCTGTCCTCGGAGACCCAGGTCCCTAAGCAGAGAGCCAGCAGCACAGGCCCCTGCCTCTGTCCCTGCAGCCTCTACACACTGGGCCACATTATTCATAAGAGAGGGAAGCAGTAGGGAAGAAGCGCTTTTAAAAGTAGAAATACTCACAAAGCCATTTCAAACTGTTCCAGCCATTTTTTCTTTAAATCTTTTGTTTTGCAATAAAATTCTAACCCATTGTGTCCTTGGGTATGGATGAGGTAGAAGCCATAAGACCACTGTTAAAATTAATATTCCTCAGGTTAATACGAATCATGCATGAGTAACATCACCTTCCCAAATTCGCTACACCACCACCATCATCCTCCACAGACCTCTCATAACGTTAAACTGTGACCAGTCAAGATCCCCGCAGTCAACTTCACATCTACAACCATTTCTATGCCGAAGGCGTCTGTCTTGGTCGCTAGCATTTGGGATGAGCCTATCAGCTGTGACACTGCCCCCGGCCTTCCCCTAATCAATTCCAGAGGCAGAAACTCCTGAACCGATGCGCTACCTTTTCCCCCTCCCGGGAATGGAAGAGCACATATCCTTGAATGTGCAAAGTCATGAGTGAACCGCAGTTATGAATCTCCAAGAATTCACCTTTTTGTTTTCTTTATCCGTTGTAGGATTGTTGGCTATTTTGTACTGCTGGAGATCTATTATTTCCTTCATTTCATAGTTGTCGCCTTTTCTTTTACATACAATCACTGCCAAGTCGAATAAGAAGATGTGCCTGAGAGAGAGAGAGAGAGAGAGAGAGAGAGGAAAAGAGAGAGAGGCTGATTTAAAATGGTTGGAAGCACGTGTTAGTTCTTCCCTTATAAACTGAATTAAACCAAACAAACAGTTCTCCGTTGAGCTGAAGACAATGGCAGTGCTGCACCCTGAAAAGAATGAACTGTGAGCATCGCACCCTTCACTACCCTTAACTGAATGAGTGGCCTCGCTGTTCCTCAGTTTCCTTATTTAAAAACAGGGGGAAAAAATTTGTTTATTTGGTTTTTTTGTTTTGTTTTGCTTTTTGTTAATCCTCACCCGAGGATATTTCCCCATTGATTTTTAGGGAGAGGGAAAGACGGAGAGAAACATCAATGTGAAACACATCGATTGGTTGCCTCCTGCATGAGCCCTGACTGGGGCCCGGGCCAGGGAGGAACCTGCAACCAAGGTACATGCCCTTGATCAGAATCGAACCCAGGACCCTTTGGTCCGCAGGCCGAGGCTCTATCCACTGAGCCAAACTGGCTAGGGCAAAAAAAAAGGGAAAGTTTTAATAAGAACAACAGGCACACTCAACATAGCTATAACAAACAACTGAGCCAGGCCAATGTGGTTCAGTGGTTGAGCACTGACCCATGAACCAGGAGGTCAGGGTTCAATTCCCAGTCAGGGCACATACCTGGGGGTTGCAGGCTCGACCCCCCGTAGGGGGCGTGCAGGAGGCAGCTAATCCATGATTCTCATGAATTATTGATAGTTTTATCTCTCTCCCTTTCCCTTTCTCTCTCTGAAATCAGTAAAAGATACATTTTTTAAAAAGAAACAATTGAGATTAACCATAAAAAGTGTTGCCCTTGAACCATTACTTTTGTTTTAGTTTAAAAGCTAACCATTTACAGAATAAGGTGAATGAGAACAACGGCAATTAGCTTCTGCTGATGTTATTAGGAGTCAGCCCGAATGGCGTTCACAAGGATGACTGACACAATCTAAACCCCCATGGCCATCCGGGGAGCGAGATGTTAGAATTGTCATTTATTGGGGAGGAAACTGAGGCTTGGGGAGCCCGTCTGCTGAAGGTCACGCTGCTAGTGAGGTGCTGAGCGGGTGCCCACCTGGCCCGACGGTGGGCCCCGTGCCCTTCCCCTGCGGCTGTGCCTGGTGGTTACAGGCAGGAGCCACCTGAGCCACCGCCTGAGAGGCACAGGGGCAAAGCGCAAACTAGAGGAAACTGTGGTTAAATTCACATGCTGCTGTTTCTCCTTTCTTATTAAAAACAACATAACTGGGGAGAAAAACTATCATCCCATCATCGATACCAATCCTTGTACCTTTTCAAAAGCTCTCTGTGATTTAGACGCACACGTTTCTGAAACTACGATAATGGTACGTTCGTGCAGCCTTCACACCTGCATCGCTTTCAAAGCCTGTTTTCCTGGAGATGCTAAAAGGAGGTGTGTCTCCTGGAAGCTACCTGTGGAGCCTGGGTATCAGGTGGAAGCAAGAGCTGATGCTGCCCCCTGCTGGCTGGCTTCCTCCTCTGCAAAGGTTCCAGAAAAGGGCCACTGCACATATAATTTGGGACACCAGGCCCCGTTCACTCATCTCCAAGGACCCCACCTACCGGTTCCCCTCCAGAAAGGCTCACTCACACAGGGATCCTCGCTCAAACATCTTCCTTCGGACATTTGGTATCATTTCCGTTATTTTAAAATGCAGACCCCGGAAATGAAACAGTTGTGTGTGGTGGTAGTTACCTGTGCCCTGGTGCCTCTACCTCTCCTCTCGGTATCATGTGCACTTTCTTTGACCCCAGCTGACATGCTCTAGCTGCCACTTCCTACTTAAGAACTTAGACAAACCAACAGACAGCAAGCAGAGGGACACCACCTGCGGAGTCTACGTGAGGAACGGTTAGGGACCGGAGGCTGGCTTGCCCCTCCATTTCTTCCTTCGAGGCCCGGCTTTGCCCAGAGAACTGTTTCGAGGCCTCCCCAGGCTCGGATACGAAGGGATTATTCTGAACGTGCCGCCCCCCTTCCTCACCTTTCTTGCTTTGTGTGCTTGTCCAGGGTGGTGATTCGGATCTCCCCGTCTCCCTGAGGCCGGCCAAACAGCAGCACCGGTTGGTTCTAAAACAGAAAATGTACACACCTCAGTGTTTCATGATCACATTTTAAAAAAAAGAGAAAATCTCAGTGAGGATGTGTATTAAGAACAACTACTGTTACATGACAGCTTTTGTCACTTCACGTTTTTAGCGCCCTTACTCTAAAAGGCTCCGGTCTACATGCTACACTTTCAAAAGCAGCCGGTCCTTGGTCCTCCTGGGCGGCAGGCGGACGACGTTCACTAATTTTACTTATAACCCTAATGAGGGAGGCAGCTCCCAACAGAGAGAATTCATCCTAAGACTGAAAGTCACGAGGAAGGTGCTCAAACTAGTATTTCCTGAGCATCCATTCTGGCTCGGCCGCTGTAACAGGGCGAAATGACACAGACCCGGCCCTCATGGAGCTCCCAGCCAGCGGGGAAATAAGTCTGTATTTCACCTGCGTGACTGCCATGAAGGGCAGCGTGCAGGGCCGGGGACCCACTTTGGTTTAAGAGTCAAGGAGGGTGCCCTTGCCCAGAGATCTCAAGAATGGCCAGTTCTGACTTAGCCCACCGGCTCCACGGCTGAGCGTCGGCCCATGGACCGGAGGTCACGGTTCCATTCCCGGTGGGGGCACATGCCTGGGGCTGTGGGCTCCCTCCCCAGTGGGGGCCCCCCACCAGTAACACTGTGGCTTCTGCCCGGAACCCCTGCCCCCGGATCCCTGTGCTGCGGCTTCTCCTTAGACTTCAGGTTCCAGGGGCCACCCCCCGAAGCATGGAGATTGGGACTTAAGAAAAAACTTCATCTAAGGCTTGGGAACTTCCAGTAAAGTACCAAGAATATGCTTAGTGCATGAATTCTCAGTAGTGGTGATGCTGCCCCACAATTGCTTCCGCTGAGCGTCGGCCCATGGACCGGAGGTCACGGTTCCATTCCCGGTGGGGGCACATGCCTGGGGCTGTGGGCTCCCTCCCCAGTGGGGGCCCCCCACCAGTAACACTGTGGCTTCTGCCCGGAACCCCTGCCCCCGGATCCCTGTGCTGCGGCTTCTCCTTAGACTTCAGGTTCCAGGGGCCACCCCCTCAGAAGGGCTTTTCTAACCATCATGTCTAAACAAGGCCTCCCCTTCTCATCCCTGTTGTATCGCCCTGTTCACAGCACTACCTCAAAATGGCATCTTTAAACTCTCCTTTCCCTGTCTCCTCCACCCTGAGACCACGGGGCTCAGAGTTCCAGCCCCAGCCCCAGCCCCAACCTCAAGGTCAGGCGCACAATAGCCACCCGGCACATACACATAAAATGAGTAAATGCATGGAATCGGCAGGAGTATGTACGGTGGTGAGGGCACCGAGGTCTAGGATCTGGATGGCTGGGGGAGAAGCTGTGTGACTGAGGTGAGGGGACGGTGAGGGCAGAGCCATCCGTGTGGACGTGGCCAAACAGGAGCAGGGAAAATAAACTAGAATTGGAAAATGGAAAGTAAAGTGTCTTTTCTTCAAAAACCACAGGTGGTGGGGTAGGGAAGCTGGACGGAGTGATCGTGACCTACCAGGTTTTCTATGGAGAGCTGGAACTGCCTGATCTCACGCAGGGTCTCGTTGTCTCTCTTCACTTCGTTCACATACTGTGCCAAGTCCTGCGGAGCGAAGAGAAGGGGACAAAGAGAAGGCCCATGAGATGGGAGGAGAGAGGAGAGTGGTCCGAAAGAAAACACACCATTCCCTTCAGGAGCGACAAAAGCACCCGTGGCTTCTCGATGGCCATCGCATCAACCAAAGCTGCTCACCAAGAGCAAGTTAAAAATGTCTGGAGGACAGCCTGGCCGGCGTGGCTCAGTGGTTGAGCATCGACCTATGAACCAGGAGGTCACGGTTCAATTCCAGGTCAGGGCACATGCCGGGTTGCGGGCTTGATCCCCAGTGTTGGGGGAGCAGGAGGCAGCCGATCAATGATTCTCTCTCATCATTGATGTTTCTCTCTCTCTCCCTCTCCCTTCCTCTCTGAAATCAATAGAAATGTTGTTGTTTTTTTAATGTCTGGAGGACAGCTGGGAAGACCGAAGAGGTGTCACTTACCTCACCCTTGAGAAGAGCAGGATAAAAAAAAAAAAAAGTGACCCCACGCAGAACAACAGAAAGGGAACCAGGTCAGGAGAATGTACGTTCCACAGACATTAACAACGACCCTGAGAGGAGGACAGGTCAGGCGGGTCGGAGTAAGGGCAGAAAGGAGGGCTCGGCGAGGGAGGGAAAGGTAACTAAGTTAGACCGGGAACCTGCAGGACTGTTCTCTGCCAGCAGCTCGTGTCTCTATTCCTGGGAGCCTTCCATCACGTCTCCTTTGAAAGCAGAGGGGACGGAGGCGAGAGAGAGCAGAGAACTCGGGGAAACAGGGCGCCATGAACACGGCCCGCCGGCTGCCGCCTATTTTTAAATGTCTGCTCTCATTTCGGAGGAAACAGTAGCTCATCTTCCACCCGGCGACCAGCTATTTTTATTGTACGCGCTCTCCATTCTCTGTGTTCTGGGGTCTTTTTCATCATCTCTGTTCCCTTCAGTTCATCTGCAGCAGCAGGAACAGGACTCGGACAAAAGGCAGTTCTGAACTCTGTTCTAATTTAAAGTCTGTATCTATAAATGATCTCTTAAAATTAGACCCTTGGTATGACTTTTTGTAACAATAAGTAACTGGGTGATGGGCCCTGACGGGGTGGGTGCAGAGCCGGCGGACAGCTGGGCTCGCTGGGAAACGGCCCAGAGACACGGAGAAGCATCACCACCATCTCACAGTCGCCTGAGTTTTGCTCTGAGGACACAGTTGCTTCTGTTTTAAATGAGGGACGAATATTTCCTTCACCGTCCAGCACGGTGTGGAAGCTGGGTCTTAGAGATCCCCCATGTGCTCAGAGAGTCTGCCTCTGTCTACGCATCATGCTTGACTTCCACGTTTCCCTGAACGTAGAAACCCAACCTGAACCCCACGCGCACTGGCGCTCAGCACCCGCACCCGCAGAAGGAAGCCTGGCAGAGGCCTCACCTGGGAAAGCTCCCGCCCACCTGGTGCTTACCCAGCCGCAGTGTTCTATTGCGGCCATGCAGAGAAGGTCAAAGGCCACCACGATATGAAATCATTCCTGGAGGTGACGGAAGTTGTCATAACATTCACAAATAATGAAAATTATTTTCGCCCGGCCAGCGTGGCTCAGTGGCTGAACATCGACCCATGAACCAGGAGGTCTCAGTGGGATTCCCAGCTGAGGCACATGCAGGCTCGATCCATAGTGTGGGGCGTGCAGAAGGCAGCCAATCAATGCTTTTCTCTTATCGTTGATGTTTCTGTCTCTCTCTCCCTCTCCCTTCCTTTCTGAAATCAATAAAAATATATGTTTTTAAATTATTCTAATTTGCCTGTTGGTTTTATGTGATTTTGTCTAACAATTAAATTCATGCAAGTGTGTTTATTTTGGTTAAAAACTATTCAACTCTCCCCACCAGGAACAAAACTACACAAATACTTAAGTACACTGTAATATGTCAGCACACCACGCATACGGGTCAGCGGAGCGTCTTCTCTTGTTTTCAGGCAAGAACAACAAACACAAGCAAGGTCACGGGGCATTGCTTTACCTTCATTGCATCCAGAGCCAGCTTCAGGTTCGCCTTCTCCGTGGGGTCGGCGGTATGCTTGACCAGTTCCTATTGGGAAGACACAGTTCAGTACTATTTTCATCAAATTAACACCCAAACGTAAGGAAGAAAACATTTAAAAATTAACGCTTTATTGTAGGTTTGGTGCAGCCAGAAACAGTAGAGAATTTCTCAAAAAATTAAAATGGAACTGCCTTGTAAGACTCAGCAATTCCGCTCTGGAAATATACCCGAAGAAACCCAAATCACTCATTTGAAAGGATATGTGCTCCCCTGTGTTCAGTTACAGTGTAATTTACAACAGCCAAGATCTGGAGGCAACCCAAGGGCCCACCATCATGGGACTGAACATACTTTCAAAATTTAAAGTACAAAACAATCCAAGAGAAATTAGGGAAAAGTTTGCTAAATTTCATAAAAGTATAGTCACATCTGATACTTTTAGTAAGTGTGTCTAAAACCTTGTGATACAAACAGATGTGTCTTGAAAACTGCACCTTCTAAACTCTTCCATTGGTATTTATTAACCAAAGTTATTAAATAAATTGTTCTCTTATTTTGGACAGGTTTTTAGTTCCACGATGTCTCAGAAACTGATCGCCTTAGTCTTCCTTATTATTTCTTCTTAAAACCCAATTTGAGTAGAGTTGCTCTGAGTTTAGGTCTCATACATGTTTTAATGCGTTTTAAAGAAATAATCAGGGTTTGAATTTCTCTGATTTCTCAGAACAAAAATAGGGATGACTAATAATTCTGCGGCTTCAGTGCAAGAAATGTAATATAAAGAGGTCCAAAGCACAGAAGACTCCAAATCATATTTCACATGCAGGTAGGAGACCTGTTTAAAACAACTTTTCACCAGCGTCAGCAGAGGAGATAGGCTAATGCAGTAGGACATTCCTTTGGAGCAGAACTAATGAGTCTCCTGGTACAGCCATCAAATTAAATTTATAGGACTCTCCACCCTCATTAGAGGACTGACCGTGGACACCGTAAGCTTTGGGGTTATAACGAGAATCCCTTCGAAATACACGTAGCCTTATTATAATCTACTAGAGCAGAAAGCAGCCAGAATGTGACACAACTCTCTGCAGGTTACGGTTATCGGGCCAAAGTTCTCCCGGAATTACCTGCTGAATCCGGGTCTATAGCATTATCGAGAATCTAGTAAGTGATTAATACTGACAACAAAGCACTTGGCTGAAGGGGTCTTCATATTTGTTTTGACCTGATTGTTTAATTTTTAAATCTGTCTGGAGCCAGCTCTGTTTGAGGGGCAGGAAGTGTGACCTTGTGAAAAATGAAACTCCCCCTGGCTTCAAGGAAGGCCAGTTTCCAGCTGTTCTTTCCCGTTGCACCCACTGGTAATTGAGAATTGCAAGGGGACCGGGCCCCAGACAGAGCCTCGGGCACACGGTGGATGCCGCGTGAGTATTTGGTTGAAGGAATGAACGGACAGGGGTTTAAGGGACGTACCTGCAGGAGAAGGTGGTACTTTAACACGCGCTGCATTGGGACCACAAGCAGGTCTCGGAGGGTGAACTTCCCGTTGTTGGCGCGTTTGGAACATTCCTAGGGAAACGTGGTTTTTAAAACGTGCGTTAAAAACCGTTAGCTTTACCAAAGGGAGTCATGAAACACGAAAAGACGCAAAGGCCATACACAGAACTGTGACTGCGTGATAAACGTCTCCTTTTCCTGAACAAGCCTTGTTTCTAAGAAACAGAAAGCACCTACAATTAAAAACCAAAAACCAACCAACCTTGGAGCATTGCAGCTCTAACTATGAATCGGTAAGAAAAGGTCTTTATGTATGAAGATTCTTTCCTCCGGGCCTTCTAGGGTCTTCCTCCCCACAGGCTGACAGCTCTGCCTTGTCCCCAATCTCATCCAACCCCCGGCCCGTCCAACCCACAGGGGCCTCCCCACCACCACACCCTGGTTCTCTCCAGCTGCCATGTGCTTGGCCCAGTTCCCGGCAAAATCCAGCGTTCTCCTCAGGAACTACACCTCCAGGCCTTTAGTAACAACCCCAGTCAAAATGATGCCCTCTCTCTGTGCCTTGTGGGTCTTTTCATTCTTGTTGTACATAATCCCTTCCCCAAGATGTCCCCCATACCTCTAAGAATCTAGTATTCGCTGAAGTGTTTGTTGAACTGGATGAAATGAAATGACTGACTCCAAAACTATGCCCAAGTGTAAACCTACTGCAGGATTCAATGTCTCAAAAGCCTCGGTTTTCTTTTTTTTTTTTTTTAACATCACACTATTCTTTTTTTAAAGCGTATTTTAAACTAGTACTTTACTGTTTCTCACAGATCTATAGTGTCGTTCAAAAAGAACGGCTCAGTTGGTTGAGCATCGTCCTGTGCACCAAAAGGTCACTGGTCTGATTCCAGATCAGGGCCCATGCCCTGGATGTGACCTCGATGACCACTAGGGTTTGTGCAGGAGGCAGCTGATAGATGTTTCTCTCCCTCTCTGCCTCTCTCGCTGAAAATCAATTTAAAAAAACAGAGCCTGTAAAAATATTATTATTAGTGGGCAACTCAGTAAGTCCAAAATCCTCAGACAATTGCACATCCCAAACCAAGGAATTTGGGAAGGAGCTCAGGAAAGGAGTTATAGTCAAGGAAATACTCCTTAGCTCATGTCTTGGTTTCCCTGTGCCCACACTTAGCTCTAATGGAACATAAAACGATGTATCACCAGAAGCGATAAAGCAAACTCCATCAGCTCTAATGACCACAGTGCCTAATGAGTGTCTGACTGAGGATCTTAAGCAAGAAATGCCAGCGCGGCCTGGCCAATTGCCGCAGGTCACTGAAAGGATAACCATGGCACTGACTGCTTCTACACATTAGAGAGCGCTCTGGGTCACGGGTCTCAAATGGGAGGTTAAACTGTTAATTCTGTGGTCATGGAGGGGTCTCCTCTCCCAGTGAAGTCCCACCCACTGACCGTACTCTGCATGTTCAGCTCCTTAAAACAGCTTGCCCCTGACACTCCCCGTATCATGACATCTAACACAGCGTCAGGAGCAGAAGCATCACACACCACAATCACGCTGTGATGTGATGGACGTCGGTGTAAAACTCTTGGGGGGAAACTGGTTCCTTTCAGTCCAAAGCCCAGGCTTTCTCAGCCCCAACGTCCGGAAATTACCCGCATCCACCTCACTCCTGAGGCTCTGATGAGACCAGCTCCTGAGGCAGCCACAGCCTCAGGCTGTCCCACGGCTGTCACGTCCACCATGTTATACTGTGTAGAGGTAGCTACTAACGCGCTTTATAGAATGGCCATGAAATTATACTGAGAACACATGGGGACGTTAACGGTCGCACTGGTCGGGAAAGGGAGTATCTGGCTCTTAGGGTGGTTCCTAAACCAAGAGACAAAACAACAGGCACCTCTAACTTCAGCTTGACGTCTTCTTTCGTCTTCGAGATGTAGTCTAAGCTGGAGATGGCCGACTCCACGGCGCTGCAGTACTGCCCGTAAATCACCAGCCTGGGGGGGAGCAAGACGAGGAGGAAGCCTCTAGGAAGCAGAGCACGAACATGGCGGGGGAGAGGCAGGACTTCCGCCTCCAAACCCACAGCGAGGGAGACACAGAGCAAACTTCGCCTGTCGGCACCCCCGCTGCCTAGGAACCCCGGCAAGAGCTCCCTCCCAGCCTCGCAGCTCAGCCCCGCACTCCTTTCTCACACACACACAGGCGGCCAGCGAGGAGGATCACGCACAGGGAGGGTATCAAAAATGACCCCTTTCATTTCTACGTTTGACCGGGGCTCAGTGCACGGACATTTTTACAGCAGGTGGGTTTTAAAAACTGGCTTGACAACTGTAGGTGTTGAGTGCAAATATACACACAAAACAAAATTTAAAATTTCTGGTTAGGCTCCTGTTATATAAATGTCTGCTCACTATGTTGTCCACCGGAGACTAATAGAACGTCGCATGTCAGCTGCAAAGTGCCCATTAGAGGTCAACGTTTCACTGTTTACTCACACACAGAAGCCAGGTTGTGTGACGCTACAACTGTACTGTAATCGTTACTTATGACTCCATTCACTCATACGCCTCCCATCCGTCCTCCTTTTAATCAGGAAAATGCAGTCTCTGAAGAGGGGACGAGGGGCCTGGACTGTGCGGGAAGGAGATGCGTCGCCTGGCACGGACTCAGCCTGCTCCACAGAGGGGCCCCGGAAGGGGCTGGGAATTTACTGTTTCTTTTAACTCTACTGATACATTCGTGTTTGTCTAATCGTTGATGCAAAGCAATTCATGAGCCACTTCTGAGTCAGCATTAGGAGCTATGGTGCTTGGTGTAAAATTTTAAGCTAAATTCCCAATTCATGTGAGCTGGTGGGAAGATTTTCTTCTCTAACTTACAAAGGGAAACTGACGTGCGTCGTGAATCAAATACCCCATCATGGAGAAGGATAAAATATCAGAGTTGGAAAAGGCACCGGGTAGCTGCTCACCCACAGCCGACACGTACAGGTGGGGAGAAGGAGGCGGGCGAGTTGGCGAGACTCCCTGAAACCAGAGGACCCGGGGACAGGGTGGGCAAGTCCACACTGACGGGCAGGGCAGCCGTCTGAGCCACTTTTCCTTTCCACTTACTGCTGTCACACACGCGGAGCTCACTGCCACCAGAGGTCCCAGGTCCCGAGTTCTACCCGCCGCCCCACGTGTCCCCATGAACAGTGCTGATTCCTACCTATGAGCTGTGTTCACACAGACCCTCACTACGATGGCCAGCGAACAGCCCCAACATTTTAAATTCAGAAGTTACCTTTCCTTGTAGTTAATGAAAATTTGATACAAGTTCTGGTCATTCTTATTTACGATGGAATCGTGAATTTCTTGCATTAGGTTCCGATGAACTTTTACAAGTTCCTTAGAAAAGAAAGCAAGGTCCAAGTTAGTTAGACATCAGAACAACAACAAACCACCGGACCCCAGAATCCCTATTGCTGCTAGAACTGCCATCCAAGGACACACTGAAGGCACTCACTACAGAAACCTGCTTGCATCCACATGTGTGAAAAGAGGAGGGAGAGGAGGGGAGGAGGGGGAGGAGGGGGAGGAAGTGGAGAGGAGGAGGAAAGGGAAGGGGAGGGCAGAGGACGGGAGAGTGACAGGCCACATGAAACAGCAATTTCAGATCTGACTGGAAATGCCCATGTCCTGTGCGAGAGAAATGATTTCGCTGGTTATTAAAGGGTAATTTATTCCTTGTATAGAAATATGCACAGCTCATTTTCATTTTGTAACTGCTGTAAATGTTTCAATTCAACTACCAAGTGCTTAATGTTTTATTGACAAGATAAGTGGGGACTCGTGTCCGGGGGGCATGGAAATGTAGATTTACACTTTGGTCAATTAGTGGTGTCCCAGGGCTGAGCTAACAACAGTCGGGCTAAATCACCAGACAACTGGGGCAGAAAGAGGAGCGAATACATTGGACAAGGAGGCTTACCGAGCTCCTCATAGGCAGGATGTCACATGTTTCCTGACAGGCAAGTAATTTCCAGTCAGACGGTCCTGCCAGTCACCGCCATGGAACCAAGGGGCCAGCCCCCCACTATCCCCTCCCCTGGGCCCTGAGACTCCCTGACCTCACTGCCCAAAGGAACTAGGAATATGTTGGGCCCGTCCTTTTGGCTTTGGGGGGAGAAAGGGGTGTTATTTGTTTCTTTATATATTTTTTATTGATTTCAGAAAAGAAGGAAGAGGGGGAGAGAGAAACATCAATGATGAGAGAATCATGGATCACTGCCTCCTGCACACCCCACACTGGGAAATTGAGCTCCCAACCCGGGCATGTGCCCGGACCAGGAATGGAACCGTGACCTCCTGGTTCATAGGTCAACGCTCAATCACTGAGCCACGTCAGCCGGGCGGGCTTGTCCTTTGGCTGAGGCTCATGAAAAGGCTTGTCCAATGGGGCCCTCGATTACAGTGACCGTATTTAGGTGGTTCAAGAGCCTCATCCTCCTAGAACATGCACTTGGTTATTTCCTAACCGTTCACCTGACGCCGTGACCTTCCTTCCTGCGATGTTACAATCAGTGAGAATGTCTTCATTGGGCCCAAATCAAGGACAAGACCAACGTGCCACAGCTAGCCGACTGGGGCACGTCCACAATGTACGTAAAGAAGCAAAACAGACGGGGCCAGTCAGGTGATGCAAGCACGCCTGTACACGAAGGCTGACATATTACACATGAAAGCTGTGCAGTAAGACCACAGCCAGCTCCAGAGGCCTCGGACATGAGTCTTGCCCAGCATGACCTCACTTGGCATAGCGTTTGCCTGGCTTCATGCTTCCAAGTAAATATTCTTTTAGGATTATAAAACCATTGGGGGGTGCTCTGAAACTTGAAATGCTTACATAACCTATTAAAATAGACTACTGAGCCCAGTGGCATGGCTCAGTGGTTGAGCACTGACCTATGAACCAGAAGGTCACGGTCTGATTCCTGGTCAGGGCACATGCCCGGGTTTCGGGCTCCATCCCCAGTAGGGGGCATGCGGGAGGCAGCTGATCAATGATTCTCTCATCATTGATGTTTCTATCTCTCTCCCTCTCTTTTCCTCTCTGAAATCAATAAAAACTATAGTCTAAATAAATAAATAGAATAGGCTGTTGAAGCATAAGGAAGTCATGTATTTCAGAAATTGGAGTTAAGGTTGATATAACTGGAAGCAGAAAAGAGACACCAAGACAGTGGAGGAATGGTAGGAGTGAGGAGACGGAGGAGGCAGGACGGTGTTGGTAAGACGGGGTCGAGGGGCTGGAGGAACCACGGAGCAGTGAGTGGGCCAGAAGGGTGGCTCCCCCAAACAGAGACAGGAGCCCAGGGACTGTTGAACTAAGACTCCCTCAACATGAATCTTATCCATGTGTCTTCTGCATGTATTCTGAGTGGCTTTTTCTTAACAATATGGCTTATCAGTTATTTCTTGAGAATATAGCTATAAGAACTCAAGAGGCAGAAAACAGAGTCAAAATTGTTAAAGAATACCAGAGAATGCTACAACAGGGATCTGGAACCCCAACGAGGATTTTACAGAAGTACCCCACGTTTAGCGAGCATAGTTTCACTTACAGGAATGTTGATGAAGACAGAATCAAATTCTGCTGCTGTCAGAAATCGCTTTAGTGGTGCCATGAAGAACTACCCAGAGAGGAGAGAGAATAAGAATTAAGCACAACTCATCCTAATCTAGATAACAGATCGTCACCAACAAACAGTAAATATTTACTGAAAGTCGGTTGTTTATCAGTATTACGAATGTCCAAGAAACAGCAGAAACTATTTTCTCTGCCTTACAAATCACAGACTTGAACAGAGATAGAAAGACATAAATACAAGTTAATACATTTAAAGCATAAAATACTTTGGGTGGTGAGCACACAATGGAACAGACAGATGAAGTATTATAAAATTCTATAACTTCCATGACCGAGAATCAGAGTTCTCCTGTGTTCACTGCTATATTCGGATTGATCCCTGCATGCAGATACTGAAATCAATCAATAAATAGTTGTGGGAGGATTAAAGCTTCTTTGAGATCTGTAAACCCGAAGTTCTACTGAAAATTAGAATACACACACACACACTCACACACACACACACACACACACACACAGAGGAAACACTGAGCTCAACACGTTCACCATGCCGGGCAGGAGGGGCCTCAAGAGTGACACCTGATCACTTACTTTCTCTATGGACTCCAGTGTTTCTGTGTATTTTTCTTCCGTCTGCTTAATTTCTGCGAGGCAGCAACTTCGTATGTCATTCTCTTGACATTTCTGCAATTAGAATGATCCCATTAAAATTAGTTAATCAAATTCATGTGTTAATCTCTCTGGCGGGAACTAGTAAGAGATCAAAATCATTGCTGGTTTTCTGAAGCTTTCCATTTCTAATAAAACACATAACCGAGAGATCGGCATGGTTGTAACTAGTAACCATGACCTGTTACTGCATCTGGAGCCCTAGAAACGTGGCACTTTACAGTCAAAACAACCCTGGGAGTCTCTGGTCTAATCCTTTCATTTTACTAGTAAGGAAACCAAATCTGAGTGGTAAGTGACATGTCACCAGCAAAACAATAGCAGAGGAGCAATGGGGCTTAATTTCATGGAATCATGGAATTGTATTGTTATGAAAGAAAATCTTCTGTTACAAAGCAGGTATATATTCTTTTAGATTTGATGTCGCATCAAATATACACGTAACGGGCAAAGGTAAGAAAGAAAACAAACAAACAAAAAAGCCATCCCAGCAGAAGTGTCATAAACAATCACATTGAGTCTTTAACACTGTCACTTGCCCAATAAAACACCCAGAGTAACTCAAAAGAAAAAAACAAGGCGAGTGCCTACGGGTTGCTGCGCCTCCTCCGCTTTCATCAAGTCCTCATAGACCTCTCCGCCTTCGTCCTCCCCGTAGACACAGTCATACAGGCCCTCCTCATCCTCCATGTGGGTCTCGCTGGAACGAAGGGCACGGGAGAAAGGTCACTGTGTGGTAGGAAACGCAGGAGCGAGAAGCAGCTTCCTGGATTCCCATGGAAATCCAGAGGGGACATAAATGGAATTCATGGCGTCGGAGGCTCAGGTGACAGCCCCGTCCCTCCTACAGGGACAAAGACAACAGCACCCGACAGCGATGACAGCGACACGGACATTCGCTGCCTTGACTATGCACAGCGCCCCCTGACCCCTCTGCAGGAGCCCGCCGGCTCCCCAGGCTGGCATCGGTGGTGCCGTCAGGCAGGCCCTATCAGTGGGTCCAGCATCGCGATCCAGACTTGCCCCAGACAACACAGGTCCATGCGGGGCCAGACTGAAAACAGTCTGCCTCACACTCGGGATGCGCTGATCACACGATCGAAGGGGAGAGTACGGAGAAGATGGGGAGCTGAAGGGGACCTAGCATCTGACAGGCTTGTCACTGCCAAGACCTCGTGCAGTGGGTTTCAGACCACGTTCCTGCTGGAGGGCACCTTCCTTGCGCCTGCCAAGCGGGCACCGTCTGCCCTGCCTCTCCAGGAGAGGGGTGCAGTGTCTGCCTCATGTCCCTTCACCGCCTCACTCCTCTGCCTCCACCTCTACATGCCTGGGAAGGGCTCAAATTTGACTTGGCGGCGGTCTGCCTCTCTACTCCTCAGAGAGCCCTGCACGCGTGGGCCACACAAAGGCAACCAGGAGCCCAGGGAAGTCCACTGTCTCCGACGCTTTCCCTCCCGGGTCTGGGGTTGATTCTTACACACCTCAGCCCCTGGCCACTGTCCCCTTCACGGCACTCTGCCAACACCCCCAGCTACGACCCACAAAGGAAGCGCTCACGTACTCTATCAGGTCGGGGAGGGCTTTGTAGATGTCCTCATCGCTGACGCTCTCTTCTGTTGGGAAGGGCCTTGGGGGAGGGAGAGAAGGAGGGAGAGAAAAGCAAGGTGAGCAAGCGGCAGCCAGCGGGGCATGGCCTCTCACGAACCGTGTCGGCCCGCCTGCCGCCAGCGCGGGCCGGTCAGTCACCACGTCTGAGACAGCGTCTGGTCTGGCATTTCTCCCAGTGTGGCTGGGTCCGGGGGTCCCCAGGGAGACCAAGCACCTGCTACCCCAACTCCAGAGCAGCAGGTGTGCTGGTCACCCAGTCCTCTGAGCAGCTGGGGACAGGCTGCTGTGTTTAATGGATCCCCCATCAGCCACAACTCTGCAGGCTCCCCTCCCGGCAGAGAGCAGGCCTGCCTTCAACACCAGCTCTTCTCACTTGCGGATGCTGATGTGACTGACAAATGACTGAGTAGCAATCACCCTTAACAAATAGCTGGGTGGCAATCATTCTTGACAAACAACTAGGTGACAATCACTCTTGACAAATAACTGGGTGACAACCTAATAATGAAAATTATTAGAAGGCAAGAATACTGCGCCCTGTGTATATGATTATTGACTCTGATATATTTTTCTACTTAGACTTATTAGTAAAGGTGTTTAAGTTGTGTGTGTTTTTCAATTATTGGGCAAATGAGTCCATCGGACCTCAGGGAGAATAGGATGTTTTCTCTGCTCCCTGTTCAAAGGAAATCACTGTCACTGACCCCCTATTCCTACCCATGAGCACCCTTTTTGCCCCATGCTTCTGTGACACATTTGAAAACACGCACATAATGCTCTAAATCCATGTCTAACAAAGTCACAGAAATCAGACTACAGAGGCAACTTTTACTTTTTTTTACATGTGTTTGCCTTGATGAATCACATATATAGAAATGTTGAAGGGAGTTTAAAAAAAAGAAAAAGAACCATTATCAGTGATAGTCACCAGCAGAATGAGAACCACGCTTGGCCAACGGGTCGCACTCAGCTCTGCGAATGTGTTTTTAGTTGCTCAGTAAGTGTCAAACGTGTGTTGGCACTTACATACCAGGCAGCCTGCATGAGTGAGAAGCAGTCCTCGCGTGCAGCATGCTTTGCCAACAGTGACTACTGAATAAGCAATCGTTACACTGAACACGGGCCGCGGAGAAACACGCTTACCTGATTCCTGTGGCCAATGCGATGGGTGTTCGGGAGAGTCGCGATAGCGTTTCTATCACCTGAGAACAGAGGATGTGTTCATTGTAAGTGTATTTCAGGAAAGATAAGTTCCTTTCCCCAAATAGTAGTTTAGCAATTAACGTCAACAATGGCAGCAGACGCGTGAATCTGCAGAGGCCAAAGAGGTGCAGAATGGAAGAGCTGGGAGTGACAGTATAACACCTTCGGTATAATTTTGTCCCTTTCTTGAAGTGACCCCACTTCAAATGCTCAATAGCCACACAGACAGCAAACTTTCCCATCATCACAGAAAGTTCCACCGGTCAGCCTGCTGGGTAGCAATGTGATGGAGCACGTGGGCTCTGGGGACAGACCCCACGGTTCAAATCCTGGCTTTACTACTTATTAGTCACATAACCGTGGACAAATTACTTAATTTCTCCGGGCTGCAGTTTTTTCTCATCAGGATATGGCATACAATAATAGATTATTGTAGTCATTAGATTACTGTAAGGATTACAAAGATAACACATGCAAAATATTTCAATGGTAGCCATTCTTGAAAATCTCCAACTTGAAGAAAATCACCTTATTCTAATTCTGTGTGTTTCAGGAAAAGGAGTTGCTTGTACGTACCCCTGCTCATCTACCTGTTTCAAGGTCCCTTAAGAAGACATACCCAGCCATGGCTGTAGCATGAGTAGCCAGTAATTTTCCTGTTTGACACTGGTTTCAGCAGTATCACCATGCAATCAAAAGGAAACTAGTATTGCTATGCATTTTACTATGCTATTACTGGGGAGATTTTCTATGAGAATGACCATACATCCACAAGATGCATTTTCTGCTCCTTTTGCTACCAATAACCAGAACTATTCACAACCCGTCCCCCTGTCCCCCTGCAAAACTGGAGTTTGATGTTTCCATACAACTGTCCACCAGAGGGAGCCAGACAACAGCACTCCACCACTTTCCTCCTGCGGGGAATGTGTGTATAAAGTACAAGCGTTTCTGAAAGTCAGCAAGCTGCACGGAGCATTTCCCACTGTTTGGTGATATAAAAATAAAGACACAGATTCGGATGAGAGGAGCATGGCGAGAGACTATGCAGCATGCCTTAGAGAGCACCTCCCAGGACCCTCTCTCGGTTCCGGGCCCATCTGATTATACAGGGAGCACCCCCCTCCCCCCTGCCCCACCCCGTCCCCGTCCCCGTCCCGTTAGCTCCAAGTGTAGCCAAAGCAAACAGAGACTGTTCAGTCCTAGTCGTGTTTGCAGAACAGCGTGTCTGCTGTGAAGGCAGAGTGACCCCTGTACAAACAAATACCAGACCCTCAGGTCCCTGCCGCTGGAAACGCCGACTCCAGAATATTGACGGAACAAAACAGCACCAAAGGCAGGAAAGACGACTCTATTTTCCCTGAAATGTATTCACTTCTAAAAGGCTGCCTCAGAATAAGATGAAACTGTGGCAATTAACTCCAGAAAAGGGGGTAACTAGTCAGAACATGTTCAAGGTAATAATAGTCCAACAACCAACTATTAAACCCACATCACAATGCGCTTTCTTTACCTCCGTCTACACCTTGTTTGTTAAAATGGTGGCATCTGTACAGAAGTGACTACGATGCCAGGGAACATGAATAGGAGTCGGTGTGGGAGGCGGGAGGGGAGGTGGGCAGGGCTGCTCTGGACTCCAGAAAGAGGGTGAGACCCCAGAACCTGGGAAGGATCGTGGAGAACGGCTAAGAAGGAAGACGGCAGGGTCCAAGCTGCATTCTGAGAAGATCACTCAGCAAAGTGAAGGGCCGGCACTCAGGCAGCAGGACGTGGGGTGCAGACAAGGCACCAGGAGACGCGCTAGGGGTGTTCGCATCGTCCAGGTGAGAATCAGGAAGTCTGAGCTGAGCCCGCAGCAGTACAGACTGAGAGGGGACAAGTGGCTGATGCCCTGGGGAGGGAAGGACCAGGACAACTGGGGGTGGGGGTTGGGGGTGGAGATCGGGAGGTGGCCAGCTGCCCTGCCACCACTGCCACCGGAGAGCTGGGGATGCTCCTAGCAGGATGCTCTCAGCCTCTCTGGGCCCCTCCACGTGCTGACCAGGTCCACCCTGAACTCACCAGGCCGGGCCCTCCTCCAGGGCCTTCTCTGACCGTCTCCCACCTGCAATCAGGGTTCTTGGGTCCCCATGGGACTCTGGACATAACGCTGCCCTACCACCTAGCACCTTTATTCGCTGCTTCAAATATTTCAAATGGACGACTGTTGATTTTGTCAAAATGAAATAACACAGTAACACATAAGAGTCAATCCCCCCTACACACGCCTCTCCCACCTGCTGCCCACAGGGAGCCAGAGCTCAGAATCAGGTGTGACCTTTGCAGAATTTTTTTCTTTTTCTTTACAATTATTATTTTAGGTAAATGTGTTCCTATTACACAGATTTTTCCACAACATGCTTTTGTCACTTAACAATATATCTCAGCTCTGGCCAGGTAGCTCAGTAGGTTAGAGCATCATCCCATGCACCAAGGTTATGGGATCGATCCCAGGTCAGGGCACACACAAGAATCAACCAATGAATGCATAAATAAGTAGAACAAATCAATGTTTCTCTCTCCCCCTCTCTCTCTCAAATCAATAAACTTAACAACAACAAAAAAGACAGTTGTGTCAATACACACAGATCTACTTTGTTGATTTTAATGTTGTATAACATTTAATGTATGTAACACAATGATTCAACCATTCTCCTACCATCGATGTGTGGTTGCACTTATGCATTCATTGGTTGATTCTTGTATGTACCTTGACTGGGAATCGAGCCCACAACCTTTAATGCCGCCATCACCGCCATCATCATCATCATCATCATCATCATCATGCCCACAACCTTTAATCCCACCATCATCGCCATCATCATCATCATCATGATCATCATCATCAGTAAAGTAACAAAATTGAGATTTGATACTTCCTATTCTCAAACCCCGCATCTACCAGGAAAGACCCAGGTGGTGGGCAGAAACCCACACCAGGTACTGCCGAGTCCACCCGCAGCCCGGGGAGAGCAAGGCCGCTGTCCCCTCAGCTGGGGACAGAGCCGGGAGCTCCAGCGGCTTCTTAGCAGCGGTGACATTGGCTGCATACACAGGGCCATGGGGACTTCCCGGATCTCCATGGGTCTGCGTGTCTGTCTGTCCGCAGACGGCTGATGGGCCGGAACGCCAGCCTCTGGCCCCCTCCGGGCCCCAGCCCCACCGGCCCCGGCGCCGTGAGGACACTGCGGACTTCCTGGCACGGCTCGGCCTGAGCAGCTTCAGAGTGGCCGCTTCCGGAGTAATATTTTCCCACTTGGTTTACAGTGGACAGTGTCCAAGCTCTCGGAGATGAGGTCACTAAGCAAAGTTTTTTCTAAACCAAACAGTCGTGCCCTTGTCTCAGGCATTTATCTCCACAGCACCGAGGGCTCGCTGTGTCGGCCTTCCCGCCCCTGCCCTCCGCCTCTGAAGACCCCATAGGGCATCTCCCCTGCCCACCTGCCTTCCCACCCCTGCCCTCCGCCTCTGAAGACCCCATAGGGCATCTCCCCTGCCCACCTGCTCCTCCCATCCCCACAGACTCCCTCTGCCTCGCCGGCTACCCGCTGGGAGACTTCTCCTACACACCCAGGTCTAAGTCCTCCCAACTCATCCTTGGAACCTCAGATCCCACTCCTCCCGCCCGCCCTCCGCTCTGCCTTAGTCCACAGCCTCTGCCTCCTGCCTCAGTTGCTGAATTGACTCCAGCTCGTCACCGGGTCGCAGAAGGACCGGCCAGAGGGTGAGATCCAGGCGTCAGTTAGAAAAGTGTTTCTGTTCGGGGCGGGGGGGCAAAAGGCAGCCCTGGGACAACAGCCGACCCAGAACTCTGAGGCGCCTCCGACGTCCTTGTGAGCCGGTGTCGCCCATCAGGGCGGCTGCCTGAACCGGGGTCCGGAGGACCCACCAGGGCGGGGCTGGCCCAGAAACAGCCTTTTGACTCTGCCCTGAAGAAGCAGTGAGTGGAACTCAACTTCAGAGAAATGTTTCTTTAAAAGCAGCAGAAGGTGCCCTGGCCGGTTTGGCTCAGTGGATAGAGCGTCAGCCCCAGGACTGGAGAATCCTGGTTCCGATTCCAGTCAAGGGCACATGCCTTGGCTGCAGGTTCCCTGGCCCTCGTCGGGGTGCATTCAGGAGGCAACTAATC